GCCATATTTTCCAATATACTTTCACTTCCCTATCTTGTGTTGACCTTTGCACGGATGTCTTAGAATATCAAAGTACATGATGACTTGGTTTAGGAGCAGGGTTCTTAACCTTTTTTGTGTCATGGACCCCTTTGGCAATCTGGGGAAGCCTATGTACCCCTTCTCAGAGTACTTTCAAAAATGCATAATATAAAATACATGGGATTAAAAGGGAAACCAATTTTGAGAAACAATTTTTTTAAAAGTTCATGACCCGAGGTTAGGAATCCCTAGTTTAAAGAATGTTGGCAAGTTCTTCATAGAGGTTCTTTAATTTCTCATCCTTTGCAAGAGATCAACAGTAGATTCTTTGAGAAGAATCAAATTAGTATGGAATAGTGGAAAAGGCACCAGACTTGGAATCAAGAAGAATTGGGTTTGAATTCTACTTGTGACAATTACTAGCTATGTGGCCATCATCAAATTATTTAAACTCTCCTGGCCTCAGTTTTTATACTTGTAAAATAGGGATGATAATAGTAATAATAGTGCCTACCTCACAGGTTGTGAGGACCAAATGAAATATTGGACTTAAAGTGCTATATAAGCATTGACTATTATTTTTTATTTCTGCTCCTCATGAACAATGCAAGATGAGATATCTAAGTATTCCATGAAATTATGTTTCATATTGCATAAGTGGGTGGGTGACAAAACATAACTCCATCAGTTCCTTTGTTTGACTTTCCAAAAAGCGTCCAAGAGCCATCCTTCCATTTACCTGCAACTTCCTTTTGTCTTCTGATGATGTCTATCATGGAACTATTGATTGTTAATATAATTAATAAGTTTATTAATAGTTAATATAATTAATAGTTAATATAATTAATAGTTAATTAATCATCATAATATATTTATAGGTTATATTATTATATGTTATATAATTATATTATAATATAATTATAGTAATTAATTAATATAATTAATAGTTATTATAATTAATAAGATTCAATTCCTCAAAAAATATGTCCATTTTTTTTTGTCAATGGACAAAGGTTTCAGATGAATTGGTTACAGTTAAATTAATGATTATGTAAATTATGTGTGATTCTTAGCACTTCTTCTACAACTTGAAAGCACAGGGTCAGGGCCATTTAAATTTTTATTTTCTTTGTTTCATGGATTGCAACGGCCAAAGAATTCATCATTTAGTGGCCAACCTAACAGAGATAAGCCCTTTTGTGCTAGGTTGGCCCTTAGAGATACTATGGCCAAAACAATAAAATACAGTTTCCTTAGCCTAAGAACTTTTAAAAAGATCAAAGGTGATCACAATTGGGTTAAGACAACACTACACAAAAAAACTTGGAAATTTCATAATAACTAAGGTGTTTTATTTATATTTTCTTTCTAAAAAACATCACCTAATAAAAAAAAAAGATATTATATCAAGAAATTTATTGAGGCTATTAAAAAAAAGCACAACCCATTACATGGTATAGAGAGGCTATTATGGTCCAGAGTATAGAGAGTTAGCCTTGGAACCAGGAAGACCTGATATCAGTCGTGTTTCTGACACACAGTGGCAGTGTAATCCCAGGCAAGTCACTTAATCTCTCATGCTCTAAGCAGTTCTCTGATCCTAGTCATTGCAGAGAAGGTATAGACTCACATTGGTAGAAAGAGTTTCATCATCTGGGAGTTTCCTACACCACTGAAATAAATCACTAGCCCAGTCTCTATCCCCTGTCCTACATGTAACATGCAAAACTTCCATTGAAGTTAATCTCATATTTCCTTAACTCAACCTCTGTATTCTAAATTTTAAAAAGTAATGGATTAAAGGAAATCCTTTATTATAAGATCACATTATCATAGATTTAGAATTAACTGCTAGGGATGGAGGAGACATAATAGGGAGGGTCAGTCTCAGTTAGTGAAAGTCTCTTATAGACAAGCACTGGGTAGAGTCAACTAAATTCAACAAGCCTGACTGACTTTACACAGTCAGATAGATGATGGGGATGCAAAGAGAAATATCACACAGATCCTGTCTCAAGTAGTTTACCATCTCAGGATAAGCACACGAACAGAAACAAAGTGTGGGGTAGCTGTAGGGAAGAAAAGGCAAAGAAAGGACTATGAGAAATTGTAGGGGGGAAAAGATCACTTGCATCTAGGTGAGATGGAAGGGGAAGTGAATAAAGGGAGGGACTGTCAGGGAAGGCAGTATTATTAGGAGATGGTACCCAAGTTAGGTCTTGAAGGAAGGAAAGGACTCCAATAGACTGAGGTCCATTCTGGTCATGGGAAAATGATATGAAAAAAGCACAGAGCAAGGGGTGACCAGACCAAGAAATAGAATTGGAGAGAGATCTAGTTTGGCCGAAATTTATGAGTATGTGAAGCAGAACATTTTGAGTTAAGATTGGGAAGGTAGATTGAGCCAGATTGCATAGGGTTTTCCATGCTAAAAGCAGGAGTTTCTGCATTATTTATTAGGCAAAGGGCAGCCACTGAAGTTTTCTGGGTGGATAAATGATGTGATCAAAACATGTATTAGGAAAAGTGACTAGGAAACAGTGTGAAGGGATGGATCGGAGAAAAGAGACTGGAATAAGGAAAACCAGCTAGAAGACCATTCCAAATGAGTTAGGTTATTGACTATCCCAAGTGAGTTATGTTGTCAAACACCAGGCAAGGGGGTCAGGGCAGCTACAGTGTGAGCAGACAGGTGGGGCAAGGGAAGAAGCAAGAGATTGCTAACACAGAGTCTACAGAATTTGGAGTGTGGGGGAGAGGAAAGAAGAGTCCAAGGTAGCATAGAGGTTAATAAAAGCCTGAATAACTTGGAAGATGGTGGTGCTAGAATCAGAAATGGAGAAGCGAGTGAGAAGAGCAGGGTTTGTTTGTTTGTTTGTTTTGGTGGGGGGTTAGGAGTAGAGAAAAAAATTAATTCAACTTTAGATGTATTATCTGAGGGGCTAGGGGTAAAGTTTTAGAGAAAAGTCATGTGTAGGTAAAGATTTGGAAATCCTATGCAAACAGCCAATAAGGAAAGGGATGGGGTTCTTAAAAGAAAAAGGAGGGAGGAAGGAGAAAAGAAGAAGGAGGAGAGAACAGGGAGGAGGGGAAGAAGGAGGAAGGAGGAGAGATGGCAGCTGAGCAAAGAAGCTTCAAGCATACCTTTCCAATACACAATGCAAATTTACAATCCACAAAATATTGCTAAACTTAAGTAAATAAGGATCCTCTTCATTAGCACATTCATTGTATTCAAAGGAATGTTTCTCAAGTGTTTGAAAAGTTCTGTCTTATAGGTTAAATGTTTCACTTTCATTCTTATTCACTTATTATTTAGGTATTTACATACCTCTTTCTCCTCCCTCCAGATTACAGAATTCTAAACTTTAGTCCAGCTCAATTGAAACAGGTAGAGATTCTGAATTAGTAGAATCTGAATTAATGAAGTTTTAATGAACCTCTAGAGAAATATCAGTCATTTTATCAAATGAGTTAATGTATGTAAAGTGGTACTCAAGCCTTAAGGCATTTTATATACATAGATCATTATTACATGTAAAACACTTTCCAGCAAAGTTGGCCACCAAAAAAAAAAAAAACCAAAAAAAATTCCATTTTTGATGTTGACTTTCATTATAAAAAATTCAAGCTCACAGAGCGGAAAAACACTTTCGATGCAGATGGCTTTAAGATGACCAGGTTTATAACATGGTGTATCTGTCAAGCTATGCCTCTGGGAACAGTACAATACAATACTTTGCTGACTCCGTCATCTTCCTTCTACTGCTGCTCTCCCTTTGTTGTTCAGTTGCTTCAGTTGTGTCTGACTCTTCGTGATCTCATTTGGGGTTTTCTTGGCAAAGACACTGGAGTGGTTTACCATTTCCTTCTCCAGCTCATTTTACAGATGAGGAAACTGAGGCAAACAGGGTTAAGTGACTTGCCCAGGATCACACAGCTAGTAAGTTGTCTGAGACCAGATTTGTACTCAGGAAGAGGAGTCTTCCTGACTTCATGCTGGGCACTCTATCTGCTGCACCCCTTAGCTGCTCGTTGCTGCTCTCCCTCCCTCAGACCACATGAATTTCTCCCATGCTTGCAGATTCTGGGGCTTATACATCCCCAAATTTAACTACTACTACAATTTTTGGCCTGAATGATACATCTAAAACTCACATTTCATAAATAGGTGCTACCAGATGACACAATATAACCTAATCTAAAAAATCGCTGGTTTCAGGTACTTTATTTATCTTTTTGGGGGGTGGGGGGTATGTTCAGATCTGAAGGGAACTTCCACTGTGCAGACTCCCTCCACAGATGTAGATTAGCAACTCCCGTAGCTTATAGGAATGGAGAATTGCCTAAGATATCAAGAGGCTAAATGACCTGTCTAGTGTGTGCCCAAGGCAGTACCTGAACCCAGGTTTTCCTGACTCCAGAGCTATGCCCCTGCCCCCTACAGCATGCTGCCTCTCTTGGTTTCAAGTTATATAAAACAAATTAGTTTCCTACTTTCACAATCCTGTAATATAAACTTTTTATCAAGAGCTTTATATCTATCTATCCTATGTATCTATGTATTTGTCGATGTATATATGTATGTTTGTATGTATCTGTCTATGCATTTATCTATCCTTCTATCTATATATCTCTGCCTCTATCCTATCTATCCTTTGATCTATGCATCTCTCTCTCTCTAGCTTTCTTCTATGCATCTATCTTTTTATCCTTCTCTCTCTCTATATATGTCTTTACATATACTCTCTCTATATATACTCTATATATATTTACATCAAGAGCTCATTTTAAACAACAAATATCTGTACAATGCATACATTAATCATCTTTCCAAGAGTTGCAAAGTGTTAGAGAACTGATAAAGAATTACTTCTTCATCAAGCATGCCAAGTTCTCACCAGGCAATAGTATTCCTCTTCTTAAGATACCCCTGTAAAATATTAAGTTAAAATTAAAGAAAAAGAAAATAAACTTACAATGACAAGAGAAAGACCACTGTTCCCTGCAGGTTAACCACAACTGCAAGTGTCCTCCAGGAGCGAATGAAGTATCCTAGTAGGGCATACTGGGCAATTCCCACTGCAAAAAACAGCCCGCCAATGGATCCTAGTTCATGGAGAAGACAATTGTTACTAGAGAAAGAACATTCCACAAGATCATTTCTGATCACAGACTGTGGGAAATCCTTTCCTACTGTAAGGCTGTCAATGAAACTGACAATTAAAGGACAATATAAAAATAGAATGATATGTGCAAATGTCAAGCAATGAGAGCTATAACCTCAAGATGGGGAATCAGTGGGACAAAAGAAGTGAATATGTGAACCATAAGAGTACAGGTACTGTAACAATGGGTTTTAAGAAAGCACTCAAATTATTTTGTTATACTAGAATTTTGTTGTATTGAATAATGATTAAAATAAGTAGGTCAAAAGCTGGAGCTTAGAAATCAGTTAAGGGGTAGCTAGGTAGCACAGTAGATAGAGCATCTGCCCTGGAATCAGGAAGACCTGAGTTCAAATCTGGCCTTAGATATGTACTAGTTGTATGACCTTGGGTAAATCACTTAACCTCAAATGCCTACACACACACACACATACACACACACACACACACACACACACACACAAAGATATCAGTTAAATGGATGTTTGGAAGCGTTTGTTTATTTTTGCTATCATATTAGATTTGACCTATGTTAGGAGGAAACAACTGGGATACCATATGTCTCCTTTGAAAGATAAGGCCAAGACACAGAAATATTAGTGTAATCAGCCACAAAACAGATTCTAAACTTTTTGGAAGCAATAGGAGAGGTACTGACTTAAACTGTCTTTCCAATACACAAAACATGCATCTCCTATACATTACTCTGTCTTTTTTTCCCCACTATAAGCATTTTCACAAGGATGTATTCTATATAAGAAAGTTCTTTCTAGGTTTCATTGTTGTTGGGTCATTTTTCAGTTGTGTCCAACTCTTCATGACCCTATTTGGGGTTTTCTTGGCAAAAATATTGGAGTGGTTTGCCATTACCTTCTCTAGCTCATTTTACAGATGAGGAAACTGAGGCAAACAGGGTTAAATGACTTGCCCAGGGTCACACAGCTAGTAAGTGTCTGAGGCGAGATTTGAACTCAGGAAGATGAGTCTTCCTGACTCCAGGACTGGCACTCTATTCACTGAGCCACCTAGTTGCCCCCCAGGGTTTCATTTCATATCCCCAAATAACAGTACTTTGTGTATCTAAAATATAAGCTCTTCAGCTTGGCATTTAAAACTCTTCACAATGATAACTTGTCCTACCTTTCCAATATTACTTTCCATTATTGACTTTCATGCACCCTACATCCTAGACAAACTGGTCTGCTTTATATTTCCTTAACATAGTGTAACATCTGCTTTCTTAAACTTTCCTATAGAGGCTATAGTTATCTTTAAGAGCCAAATGGAATATTGCAGAAAAGGTAGTTGGGAGTGCCTACTGTAACTCCATCTATAATGTACTTCTCCTAATGGAAACAGAGGAAATGCGTTTTGTCTTTCCCTGTGAGGAATTATTAGATAAACTGTGGAGAATACAGAGAAAAAGAAGGGAGAAAGTCCTTTCTTGCTGAAACTATCTTAATTAATATATCACGAAGAAACATTTTAAAAAGAATTCTATCAAGTGTCTATAAGGAAGTGGCAATCTACAGGTATTCTGGGACGTGTTTCTTGAGTTGCCTGAACAAAGGGTGAAGAAAAAGTACTAACATAACTTATCTCCTGAGAGACTGAATTTAACTCTTATCTTGAGAAATATGAAGAAAATTCTTGAGAGACTAATTGGCATCTGTAGTGGACTGAATGGCAAAATTGTGTTTCTAGAAGTGGAGAAAAGACATCTGCTTTATACTGAGGGTTTGAGATGAATTTAGGTATGGTCTTTCTCATGGCCAAAATATTATAAATTATTATCTGTTTTATTATTGATTTCATTTGTTAATAAAATATATATTCAGTAATTTCAATCAATAGTGCTCCCGAGAAATATGAGCAATTATTTTTTCAAGTTTATTTAATAATTACCTCTTGCCTACACTATTGTAATAGCTTCAAGCCTCTCTCCACTCTGATATATCCTCCACTCAGTTGCCAAAGTAATCTTCTTAAAGCACAGGCCTGACCATGTCACCTCTCTGCTCAGTAAATACCAATGGCTCCCTACTACCTCTACGATTAAATATAAAGTCCTCTGTTTGGCATTCAAAGCTCTGTATAACCTGGTTCCTTCCTACTTTCCAGTCTTCTTAGACATTATTCTTCTCCATACATGCTATGTTCTAGCCACACAGGTCTACTTGCTATTTCTAATACAGGACACTATCTCTCCCGATTGAATTTTCACTGTCTGTCTCCCATGTGAGAAATGATCTGCCCCCTCTCCTTCCACTCCTACCTTCCCTGGCTTCCTTCAGTACTCAGCTTAAATCCAACCAAATGCAAAAGGCCTTTTCTAGTCCCTCCTCGCCCTCATCTTCCACCCCAACAGCTGCTAATGCCTTTCTTTCTGCAATGACCTTCCAACTATATTTCATATATCTTATATGTAACTAGTTATTTGCATATTGTTTCCACTTTGAGGATGTGAGTTCCTTGAGGACAAGACTTGTTTTCACCTTTTTTTGAATCCCCAGAATTTAACATAGTGGCTAGAACACAGTAAGTGCTTCATAAATGCTTTGCTTTACTAATTGAAAAGGAAGAGTGTTCATTAAGGCTGGAAAGGTAACATAGAGATAAATGACAATGGCCTTGAATGCCAGGATAAAGGATTAATATTTTATTTTAGAAGCAATGGCAATTCACTGAGAGTCTGAGAAGGAATGAAATAATCATATGCATCAGAAAGATGACTTTGGCAACTATATGAAGGGTACACATGGAAAGGGTACAGAATGAATGTGGAGAAGTCAGGAAGAGGTGATTAAATTAAATCAGATAAAAGGTAATTGTGAACTAATTTAGGGTGGTGGTAATAGAAGTAGGAAGGAGAAAGAAGATATAAGATAAAGGACAGGCATAGGATAGAAAATATCTGAAACAAAGTAGATCCTGAGGGTAAAAGACAGGAAAGTTGATGCCAGGGTTTTAAGCCTGGTGATGTAATCAACGAAATTTGCTCCCTCAGCAGCAGCCAAATGGGTTCTTTTTTTACAAAAAAAATTTTTTTATGCTGAACTTAAACACTAAGAGTAATAGCAGTGGATACATAAAACGGGAAACCCATATTTCATACTACCTGCTTTTTAAAAAAGCATATGATAAATTCTATATAATCTTCACGACTGTTCTAATGTCCATCTGAACTTCCTCCCGTCTTCTGTACACTTTTAAAATGTTACAATGGTTCTGTTTTATCACTGTTGCTAACCTTGTACACTTCCCCACCTCTCTTCCCCCAATTTAAAACGGAGAGGAAAAAGAAAAAAAAAAACTTATAATAACTAAACACAGTCCAACAAAATGAGTTTACATGGTGATCATGTCCAAAAATGCATGCATCTCCTTCAACCTTGTGTAACATGGTTTATCAGAGATCCTCTGGAGACATAGTCAAACGAAGTACTTAAGTCTCTGAAAGCTGAATTTCTTTTCAATGCTGCTGTCCTGGTCAATGCAGTCTCCTAGTTCTGTTAACTTCATTTCACATTAGTTCATACTACCCAGAAACCTCTAAAATTATCTTTTAGCATTTCTTACAGTACAAGAATATCCCATTACATCTGTATACCTCAGTTTGTTCATTGATTCTCCAGTTATCTAAGAGGTGATCTAAGCCCTACGCCTATAAGTCCCTTCTCTCCTCTCTCCTCCTTTATCCTCTCCTTCCCTTCTATTTCCTTTCTTTCCTTCCTTTTAATCCCTTTTCAGAATCAGAAAGTTTATTTTCCTTGTGACTCTTCCCTCTCTGGCATTATCCTCCTTCTTAACCACCTCACTCATTTGCCTGTCGCATTTTATATATTCCTATATCAAACTATATTGTCTGTGGTCCATATTCCTCTGTCTTTTTCAGATAAGAGTGAAATTCATCTAATGCCTATTCTCCCCACACATGTATGTTTGTATATCCTTCTCACATTTCCGAACTGTAAAAAATAGCAAGTTCTACTAACTTCTTCCTCATTTCTACACCAGTGTATTCTTTTTACCCTCCCTTCTTTTCCCTCTCTTTAGATCCTCAAAGAAGAACCAATTTTCTTTGCACCTCTACGTAGCCCCAGAATCTCTCATTTTTTATTTAACTCCCTTGATACACTTTGAAGATACTAATGTTCTGAAGGGACACTTGTTTCTTCTCTCCCTTTTAGAGTGTTAGCAGTATATCAGTATATAGCTCCCTCCAACTGGTCAAGTAAATTTACCTGCCTGGGTTTGTATTTCCAAATTCCAAATTCATACTACTGGTCAGCCAGAAATACATTTTTTCTTTTTTTTTTCTTTTAAAGCTGTACGTTTAAAAGATACCCAGTGAGAGATTGCATGTCTGCATTCTGACCACCAGTCTAGCTATGTTCTGAGATGCTCAAAATCCCCAGAAGGATGGATGCCAGGGAGAGATTTTTTTATTTTACAGCAACTTATGCAAAGAAGTATTATGATCTGTGTCACTGAAGAGAATACTGTAGAAACTAAATACCTTGAAGCACTGAAGAAGGGAAAACAAAAGCTAAAATGGGGACAAAGTACGTACCTTGGAGTATCAAAGAAGAGAAAAAAAATAACCTAGATTGGAAGGTTTATGTAATTTTCATGAGCCAATAGAAGGACATTCTGGGTCAACTAGAAAAGACTCATTATTTTCATTTAAATAGTGAGAGACAGCATCATTTTGTGGAAAGAATGCTGACTCTAAAATCAAGTAAGATGCCTTAAGTTCAAATCCCTCTTCTGATGTTTACCACCCATGCAACATTGGACAAATCACTCACTTAGCCTCCTTGGTTTCCAATGACCTCATTTGTATAATGATAGGGGCTGGACTAGGTGGTTTCTGAGGTCCTTTCCAGCTCTATGCTTACGACCTATGAACTCTGGAATCAGGAGGATGCATGTTCAAGTCTTGCCTCTGAATAAAACTCGTTGTGTGTTCATGGAATAATTAATTACCCAATCTCTCAGTGCCTCAGTCATTTCTCTAAGACAGGTTGTCAATTTGTATATGTGGAGGGAGTTTCCAGACCAGGAATTCCCCACACTAATGAATCAGAGATCCAAAACAAAAAATAAAATAATATCTATCTGTATCTACCTATATCCATATCTACCTATCTATCTCTAGATCCGTATCTATATCTATCTACCTACCTATTTATAACAAGTGAAAAAATTTGACTGACGACAGAATGGTTATACCTGGCATTTCTTCTGTCACATCCCAAGGCATATGGAACGACTGCCAAATTACACACGCATTTGCGCAAAGGAAGAGCCTCTTCAGACCACTTCTTCCTAGCACCTTTCCAGACCCGGACAATCACTAACTAGTCAATTCTAGGATTATGGCTCTAGAACTGGAAGGAGGCTCAGAGGCCAGGAAAATTAGGCCCAGGGAAGGTGAGTAACTCGGTCACAGTCACACAGGTAGTAAGTGTCAGAGTCAGTATTTGGAACCAGGTCCTTTGACTTTAGAGGCAGTGATCTCTCTTCTAGACCATGCATGCAACAGCAGAATCACCACTGTTTTTTCAGCCCTCTCTGAAAAACATCCTATCACCTATCTCTGTTCTCACCTCCTGCTTTAGCAGCCTTGCTGGCCCTACAACTACCAAACTCGTAACTACCTGATATGAACAGATTCAAAAATAAATGGGGGGGGGGAGCAGAGGAGAGGGAGGGACTCTAGTGCTTAAATATGGATTATTTTATGGCTTTTTATTTCTGATGACCAATAAGAAGGAAAGAAGTCAGGAGGCCTTATTTACTGATCAATTCATGTAAATTTGATAGGAACAGGCCACCACAAATTGAGTGGGAATTAGTTATCTCTCACTAACCTTTTGCAAAAGATTAAGTAAACAAAAACAAATTAAGTCCATTCATAAATCAATATGGAAAACTGGAATTTTTATAGGAAAGTGACAAACTCATGAAAAATATGGAAGATTCTTAATTGAATTTTTGATGGTTAAGATTTTAGTGGTGATTTAAAATTCACCTAGAAGGTCTTCTCTAGTTAAATTTAATAGGGGAAACAAGACTGTTGCCAATTTCTTTGTAAGCCATAGCTAGATTATATTCCGGCAACTGGAATATGCATTTTGAAATGTTCACTATACTGTCTTTCTTATTAAATCATTAATGCCTTTTTTATACAGTCTTAATTTCCTAAGATATCCGTCTTCTCTCCTCTACCATGAGATCCACCCTTGGAACAAAGAATAATAAGAGGGAGAAAAAAAGCAATTCAACAAAATTAACCAACATTTCTGTATAGAAATATTTAGTATTTCACACCCATAGTCCTCCATCTCTGAAAAGAAGGGATAGTACCAGCATAGTACCAGGCACAGTGTAGGTATCTGACAAATGTTTGATTGATTGCTTTTTGAGAAAAAAATGTTTTTTTTTTCTATTTCAAAGTGGAAGATTAAGCTACATCTCTCTTGCTAGTTCTAACTCATGAGTTGGAATGGGTAAAGCAACCCTAGCCAGCATAGTTTGGAAGGTCCCTTGATCCTTTTAGCTCATCCAAAATTCATTTCTTTATGAAGGCAGCAAAGACCAAGAGGCATGGCCAGGGAAGTCAGAGCTGATTTCCAGTTGGCTCAACAGCCCATCTCTAATAACCATACATATTGATCTCATTTTATTTCTCCAGTAGGCTCTGAGAGCTGATTTAGCTGGACCACAGGAGGGGCAAGGATCAGTTCCTCTCAAATTCCCTCCTTTCCTACTCAACTCCTTAAGGTGGTATAGTAGACAAAGTTCTGGGCATGGGATCAAGAAGGCCTGGGTTCACATCCAACTTCTGATACTTCCTAACTATGTGACTATAGGTAAGACACTTAACCTCTCTCTGGGCCTCAATTTCCTCATCTGTAAAATGGGGAAAATAAATACCTTTCTGGGCATCAGTTCCTCAACTGTGAGATGAGGATAATAAATATCTATGGCACCTATTTCAAAGGGTTGTTATGGGGCTCAAAAGAGATAAGCACTATAGTACATACAGGAGTAAATCAGTATGTTATGTATTCATTCATCCTTTACATAGTTTTGTGTTCACTGGAACTCAGATTCAGCAGGTGGATCATAAGTTCTCTGGGCCACATTCTACAATAGAAAAATTCTCTTTTTTTACAATCCTAGAAGCAAAGGGGCTTAGATGGATATTGAAAGCTTTGTAAAGGCCCTCTTCTAGGACAATGTCTTATGCCAGTAAAGTAAAGAATAAAGATGTTGGACATTTAGTCCCATAACTTCCCTGAGCCCCTGTAAGTGAGAGGATAAGACTCGATGATCTCTGAAGTCCTTTCTATCTTTAGTATTGGGTCTGGGGGTCTAAGTGCTAGCAAAGAAGAGAAAGTTAGAGTACCTAGATTCTAACTTTCATTACATCACTAATTTCACTGTGTAACTGGGGTCAACAGAAATTAAGTTTAAAGAAATACCTACACTATATATCACAATATTCTCAAAATAGGTATGTAATTTAAATATAAAATGCCATACACCATAAAAAATTACAAGGGATCAAGATAAAATACCTTTTACAATTATGCTTGGGTGTGTGTGTGTGAGAATTCTTGACAAGAGAGGGAGATCATAAAAGATAATTATGATTGCATAAAATTCTACAACTTTTGTGCAAATAAAATCAATGAGGTAGGATAAGGATAGAAATGGTAAAGTGGGAAAAATATTTGCAACCAATATCAATTATAAAAATCTGATAGCTAAAATGTAGAGGGAATTGACACAAATATATAAAACCAAGAGCCATTCCCCAATAGGTCAGAGAATATGTCAGCAAAATTCAAAAGAAGCATTGAAAACTCTAAGTGATCATATGTTCCAAATCACTAACAGCAAAGTAAAAAAAAAAAAAAGAAAGAGATTTCACCTCCCACCATGCATCCTGGGAAAGGTGACAAAATATGGGAACAATCAGCATTGGAGGGGAACTAACGTGGGAGGCAGACCAATGCATTGTTAATGGAGATGCAGAGTTCCAAGCATTCTGGAAAACAATTTGACCTTATGGGGAAAAATGATTAAATTGTCCATATCCTTTTATCCAGCAATCCCGCTACTGAGCACGTGCCCGAAGGAAGTCGAGGACAGAAACAAAGGTCCACTATATAGCATAATTAATAGAAGCACTATTTGGAAGTAGAGAAGAAATGGAAACAAAGGGAATAGCCATTAAATGAGGAAAGGTTGAAAAAACTATATGGATGTAAGGGAATATTATAGTGCAATAAAAGTAATGAATACAAGGAATTTAGAGAAACATGGGAAGGTTTGTATTAACTGATACAAAGCGAATCCATAGAACTAGGAAAATATAATAACATATAATAATAATTATAACAATAACAGCATTTATATGGTACCTATTATGTGCCAGGCATTATGCTTTACAAATGTTATCCCATTTGATGCTCACAACAATCATTAGAGATGGATGCTTTTTTACACGTTACTGGGGAAAAATAAAAAATTTTTAAAAAAGAGATGTACAGTAAAAAAAGAGAGAGAGAGAGATGGATGTTATTATTATCCTCATTTCACAGATGAGGAAACTGAGGCAAGTAGAGGTTAATTGACTTTCCTAAGGTCATATAGTTAGTAAGTATATGAGCCCAGTTTTAAACTCAAGTCCTTCTGACTCCAGGTCCCTTGGCCACCTAAAGCCATTGCACACAATGGCTTCTATGATTGAAGTCAAAGCACCACTAGAAGAAGCTGAACTTTTAGTAGCTGAAAAATCAATGAAGACCCAGAGGACAATTGACAAAACTTCCCCCTTCCGCTGTGGCAGAGAGGTGGAGGGCTATTAGAAAAGAATATTGTCTATACTTTCAGAAGCCTTCACTGTTTCATCTACTTTGTATGATTTTTTTCTCTTTGACAGAACTTGCTCCTTGGGAGAAAGGACTGGTTTATTTCTGCCTTCTTGTCCCTAGAGGCTAACATAACACCTGGCACAGAACCAGTGCTTAATACTTGGTGACTGATTTGTCCTGAGGAAAAGGTTCAACCTGGAGGGACCCGTTTTTGAAACAGACCGCAAAGAGAAGAGGCCTCAATAAAGTTTCTGTAAAAATATCAATAAATCCAGGGGCTGAATTCAGTGACTTCTAAGCTCCTTTCCACACCTGGTCAGCTGTGATTCTAGGACAAGTTAATAAGTTACCTATCCAAGGTCACATAGAAAAAAAATGGAACTAAATTCAGGAGAGGGAAGCTGTTAGATGACACTCAGACTCCCATACCACTAGGGCTGTAAGGGTCCTCTGAGAACATCCAATTCAACCCCCTCATCTTAAAGATGAGCAAACTGAGCCTCAAAGAAGTGAACTGACCTGTCCTTTAACATAAATGAGAGAGAGCCAGGGTTGAAACTTAGGCATTCCATTGTCTAGGTCAGTGTTGTTTCCATTCCACTATGCTCAACTCCTCATAACCGAACTTGTCTTTCAAAGACTTTGGAGTTAAGCCAGTTCTCATGGTGTCCTTAATAGCATCTACTTAGATCTATCTTGTTGATAAATGAATCTAAAGGTTTACCTGCTAGTGCCCAGTAGGCAGTGCCCAGACATTCATTCAACAAAACAAAAGACACCAGCGACATCCCTCCATTCATCACTCCCACTAGGAATCGAGATATGGCAAAGAACTCATATGAGGGGGAAAATCCATTTGCAATGGCAAACAGGATGTCAAGGGCAAAACCTAAAAAAAGCAAGGAATAACATTCAGTCACTGCAAGGCAAAGTAAAAGGATATTTGATGATAATCATTTATTTTATCTGCCACTTTATGAAGAAAGTCCTTGAAAACATGAATGTTCTTAAGCTACAGTCTTTTAAGTTATATTCCTTTCATATAGTTACTAAGAAAATGCTCCCGGGAAGAACAAAAACTGAAATTTTAACTATTAGGTAGCAAACACCAGTAGCAGTGAATTCTGAATTATCTATACCAGATTACCATTAGTCTGATATTATGGAGACAGAGCCACATTTGGAAGCTGGAGACTTGGGTTCGAAACCTAACTTTCAATTATTACTTGCATATCTCAGAAGAGTCACTTTACTCCTTTGGGCTCTGACTTTTCTTCTCTATAAAATGAGATATTTGGAGTAAGTGATCTCTAAGGTACTTTCCAGTTTTAAATTCGATGATCTTAGAATTCTAGTGAGTATAATTTTTTAAATTTTTTTTTTAAATTTTTAGGCAGTTGGGGTTAAGTGACTTGCCCAGGGTCACACAGCTAGTAAGTGTCCAGTGTTTGGTCTGAGGCCGGATTTGAATTCAGGTCCTCCTGACTCCAAGGCCAGTGCTCTATCCACTGCATCACCTGGCCACCCCTACTGAGTATAATTTAAAACTAAACCATTTATTCCGCTAGTTTCTAGGCACAGGAACTTCCCCATAGCAAGAGAACTTGGCAGGGTTCTTTGTAGTCCATTTGGAAAGAGGCAACCTACAAGGGGGAAAATACAGCTGAAGGATGAATGCAGAATATGTCATTATTCCACTGGCCCCGTGAGAAACTAATTTGGGAAAGTCATTTCACCTTCCTTGAACCTCAGTTTCCTCATCTGTAAAATAAGAGCTATGATGCAACTCTGAGATTCTATGAGATCCTTAGACTAGAATTTAGAAGAGGGCAAATATAATGTTGAAAATTAAGATAATTTGGTCTTGGCAAGTCAAGCTATAAATACCCAGCAAAAATCAAATCTAGTTGTAGTTTGTTTGTCAGACACAACCGATACAAAATTTGACACTTTCTAAACAGTTATTCTCGAAGAGCTTTAAGCAGTACTGTGAAAAAAGCAACACGGGACTCTCCATGAAACTTGGGCTTTATCAGGATAGCAATAACTTACCTGTTAGATAGACTTTTTTCCTCCCCAAACGATCTGAAAGTTGGCCAAATGATATCACTCCCACAAACACGCCACTGAAGAAAAATGAGCTGGCTACACTCACTTTGTATGACTTGTTCGCAATTAAGAACCACTAAAAGAAGGGGAAAAAAGAGGCCTTTAGGCCTAGGGAAAGATGGTTGCATTGAGTCAGTCATTAAAAGGCTGCATGCACAATGATAGCTTGTACACAAGTTTTCCCCCATACATGGCCTACTATTATCCAGACTGCAGTGTAAGGAGTCCATCTCAGATTCTATTCAAGGTTTAGTCAACAAAATACTGAAAAGTTCTTCTTATAATATTATCATAAGAATTTCATAGTCATTCAGTCCCATATAATGAGGTTGGCCCATTTCTCCAGTAAGCTAATGGCTTATACAGCTCTCATCTACTTTTGGACTATAAAAAATAAAAAGGAAGAGAGAAATCTCTATTCTCAAAGAGCCGTCATTATCTAAAACTACTTCCTAAAGAACTGGGAAAGCACAGTCTTGGGGTGAGCAGAGAGCTGAATTCCCCCCATCACCCTTCCTGAAGGAAGCCAAATTGGTTGAGAAAGTTGATCCTTTCCTTTCGAAAGCTCAAGCTCACCTAGCATTCTCTCCTTGTGTCTTCTGTGGCTTGTAGTAGCATACTTAGCACATAGTAGGCACTTAATAAGTGCTTATTTCCTTACTTCCTTCTAGAGAGATGGACAATTAGTCTGCTGTGATCATTTGTGTGGCCCTAGCTTTTCTCTAAAGTTTGTGCTGTCATAATTAAGAAAGGAGGTCAACAAGATTTTAAGTTATGTGATATTTTACTAGAGATCAGACTTTTAGAATTTAGACTTCTGGCAATCTCCAACCAGAAAAGGCCTGCATTCTTGAAATAGCTGCCACAAATTCCCTTAATTGAAACCACACACTTTATTGTTCAATGAAAAAGAAATTGCAGGGGTGGAGACCTACCATTTCTTCCACATAGGCCTTCTGTTGGATGGATCCAATGAGGCAAATTTTGGGAAGGATATGGACAAGAATTACTCAGAATGTGTTGGCACAGATGGAATGTGATTTGCATTGTTGGAGGACCATCCCAAATCACTGAGACCAGACTGTCTAATCCTGCCTGCAGAATAAATCCTTTTCTATGACTACCCTCACAAGGAACCATCTGGTCTCCTCTTGAAGACCATCAGGAAAGGGAAGCTGCCACCTCATGGAGGCCGGGTAACCCATCGCTGGATGGCACTCATTGTTATGGGTCATAAGAATCATCCAGAATCTTTTGATAACTTGGAGAAGGAGAAGGCAAGTAAAAATAGGGCATAAAAACAATAAGACTTTACACATGGAGCAATTCCCAGTTACAAAGCACTTTAGGGACATGTCAAGCACTCTTCTGGGGCAGTCTGTTGTAGGGAAGCCATCAACCAAGTCTTTAAAATAGACAGCCTAACTTCTAGAAATGAAATATGCATTAACATTATGTAAATCAAAGATGCGCTTAAAAATACAATTCAATTGAATCCTCCCAAACTGATGTTCCAAGTCAGGAATTTCAAAAAAATCATTTAAAACAATCTGATATAAACCCAATGTACCTAAGTACATTCATTAAAGGTGGAACTGCAGCCCTTCCTTCTTGGAATGTCAGTGCCCTCAGTCCCCAAGTTTTTATTTTTTGCCTCTGTGCCCAGAAACATGCTTAGCACATATTCTTGTAGATGATTAATAAATAAGGGAAGTTAGTGCATAGAGTGCCAGGCATAGAGTCAGGAAGACTCATCTCTCTGAGATCAAATCTGGCCTCGAGCATTTACTAGCTGGGTGACCCTGGGAAAGTCACGTAACCCTGCTTGCCTCAGTTTCCACATCTGTAAAATGAAGTAGAGAAGGAAATGGCAAACCACTCTGGTGTCTTTGCTAAGAAAACCCCAAATAGGGTCATGAAATGACTCAACAACAACAACAAAATTTAATAAGTGTTTGTTGAATTGAAGTACATCAAAGCATGAGAGCAAGTTAGAAAGGAGAAAAGGCAAAGACTCATAGAAGATTAGAACTGAAAGAGACTAGGAATAACCTTCATCATCCCTCTGAATCTGAAAGGGAAAAACAGGCCTAGAGGATGAAAGAGCTTCCCCCACCCCAAGATACTTGGCTAGTAAGCAGCAGAGCTAAGATTCTAAACAGTCTCCTAGGTTCAGGGATAATTCTCTGTACCTGATATGGCCCTTTGAGATTTGTCAAGTGCTTTACATAAATAATCGTATTTGATCTTCACAATGACCTTGTGAATTATTATTCCCATTTTATAGATGAGGAAACTAAGATTGAGAGGTTAAGTGACTCACCCAGGGTCACATAGCTAGTAAGTGTCTAAGGCAAGATTTGAACTCAAGGCTTCCTGACTCCAAATCTAGCCCTCTATCCACTGTGCCAACTGGCTACCTGATATCACATGACGGTGAAGTGAAGACATTTCCAAAGAAGTATGATTTAGATGCATCATCTGGTATGGAGATGACTGGGGAGCATCTCTAGAAGGCCCTGCCAAGATAGAATGGCATAAAATTCAGTCTGGTGATGTATGGCAGGTATGTTGACAAAGGATTAGCCTTGTAATGTTGAAGAGGTTTGGTTCCAAGGAGATGAACAGCACTAGGTTTTGGGTTTTTGGGTTTGTGGCTCACTGAACCAAACTCACTGAACCACCTACTAGATTATGGACAGGCTGACACCAGGAATCCCCAAAATATTAGAAAAATTTGTGGGATAATGGCAGTGAAATTTTAGGTTCACCAGAATGTAGGCGTATAATCTCTTCATTTACATAGCTTGGACAATCCCAACTTCATTGATGTTTAGTTTCTTAATGCACACTAAATTGTTTAGTTTTTTAATTTTTATTTATAATTATTATTATCATTTTGTAATAATAATAATAACGATAATTTACAGCTAGTAAATGTCTAATGTCTGAGACAGGATTTGAACTCAGGTCCTCCTGACTCCAGGGACAGTGTTCTATCCATTGCGCCACCTAGTTGCCCCTAATTATTTAGGTTTTTTTTAAAGCAAACTAACCTTCCTGGTTCTTTGGCTTGGCATAACATTTGAAATGAGCAGAAATCTACAAAAACAGTCTATAAGCTTGCTAGATTTCAGGCAGAGTCTCTTCTGGGCTAAGGAAATTTGTAATAGGTAATCCACAAACTGTTGCTTCCTTTGAAAAGCCTAGCTAACTATGGCAGGTAGGAAAATAGAGGCTAGGCCACCCATATGAACACTGTCTTTTCTAAAAGACCAGTGTTGGAGAACCCCAGTGGGAGTGCTTACTTGGTACAACTCAGCCATCTTAAAGGCAGAAAGATGGCAGAATTCCTTACCGGGGGCTACAGGTGTACAGCATGATTGTAAAGACCAGGAAAGATGCACGACTGTTGTCCTTACCCATTCAGCCTTTCAGCCTCCTGCCTTATCAAACTGGAAGGCAATGGCCTTGAAAGTATTGCTTCTGAAATAACTGATGAAATCCAAATTGGTACCACATTCAACAACACAGCCTACTCTCAGTCACAGAGCCTGCTTGATTCTTCAGGATGCTAGGCTGGAATGACTAATAGCTTCTCACAAACACAACTGAGCTATTCTCTACTGACCCTTTCTCACTAGTGTACTGGATACCAGCTCTGTTGCAAAGATAGAGAAAAATTCTGAAAATCTTGGCTGAATTGTGGCCCCTTCACCCTATACTGTACTTCCTGCAAAGACATCGGAAACTCACTAGCTACAGGAGGATCTTGCTAAAGGAGGAAATTGGGCAATCAGGGCCTTCTGCAATGAGGGAGTCATTGGACAGGGTATTTCAGGAACAGTTTCATGGTGATTAACTAACTTGCTCCAGCTCTGTGTAGTTGTCATTCTGAATTACCACTTAATGGGTGAAGTGTGCAGGCTATTACAATCAGTAACACAGGCATAAGGAAGCAAGGCATTAAAAAAAATGAGCTTCCAAAGCAATTATTGCAGTGGATTTTTCAAATAGTTTTTATACTCTCTCTTTTGACCCTGGGGTATGGCTTAGGGAAAATATATTAATCTCAAGATAATCATCAGTCCATTTCAGTTCCACATTATCCACAATGATATTAAAGAATCCAACCTTACTCTTTTTTTGGTTGCAAACATTAATTAAGCATGATAATTGTGTGTCTCAGAGATGCTTGGTACTTTCTGAATGAGTCATAGCTCAGGGAATAATTTGAATACAGCAGACAGCAATTTGCTACATAAATTCACCCCAATGGCTATTAGAAGCTCATTTCAGAATAGTCAAGCCTGCCAGTTTATAGTCTCTCCAGCATACAGTATCAAGTTAATCACATCTGCATCCCCTTTTCCTTTGCCCCTTCCTAAAACGCTCCTTAAGAAAAAAATGTTCAATGTCTGACATGGACATAATGTGAGGAAGGGTGGTTTTGATTTTCTGATTACTACTTTTCATGACTTTCATGAGTTTTTGTTCAATCATGTCTGACTCTTCATGACTCCATTTAGGGTTTTCTTGGCAAAGATACTGGAGTGGTTTACCATTTCCTTCTACAGATTATTTTACAGATGAGGAAACTGAGGCAAACAGAGTTAAGTGACTTGCCCAGGGTCAACAGCTAGTAAGTGTCTGAGGCCAGATATGAACTCACAAAGATCAGTCTTCCTGATTCCAGGCCCTGCGCTCTATGCACTATGGTACCATCCAGCCGCAACTTTCTTGAGTAGGACCCGTTTAAATCCAGAAACCTTCTGAAGGGTCTACGCTGACACTCATTCCTTGGGTTTCATGGTAGCTTAGCCACCGGTCCTCTGTACTTTCCTGTACTTTTCACTCCTAGGCAGACAACAGGGTCATTTCTAATTCCACAAACACTGCCTATGTAGCAAATGTTTCACATCACCAATGCACTTGTTACATCTTTTTTCTCAGTTACACACCACATTGGAAGGCTCATATCCCTCACTGCAATGTATATGTTAGGGGATTAAGCTGAGCAGTTCTGTGGGACCACGGAGATAGTCAATAGGGAATCGAGGCTAAAAAAAATCAAGCTCAGTTTCTCATTTGAGACACAGGTTAAAATGAAAAACAAAGAAAAAAGACAGGTGTTGGAAGAGTTGGAATATGATAGCTGTGTTTCAAGTGGAGAGGGAGTAGGGATGTTCTGTTTGGCCCCAGAGGGTAAAGCAGGAGAAGAGGGCTCACGGAGCAAAGGGAAAAACTTCCTAAGGTGGAACTGCTCAAGAGGACCTTGGGTGACCAGTGGGAACGCTGCAGAGAGGATCACTCCAACTTCTCCCCATCTGGTGAAAGTAGTTTCACAGGTTCATACTGAGTTCTTCTCCCTGCCCTTTTGTTATTCCCCTATCAGATAATACACCCCCGGGGCATAAGAGACATCTTTGCAGCCCTCCATAACATCAAATGGAGACACTCCATAAATGTTTGTTGAACAAATTACTCTCGCTCCCTTCCCTGCCTCCGTCTTTCTGGCTCCTCTGTCACAACAGCTAAAGGGGATAATTAGGGATTTGGTTAGGGATTGCTAAGCGGCACAGTGGCTAGAGGACCAGACCTGGAGCTGAGAAGACCTGAATTCAAATCTGACCTTAGACACTGACTAGCTTATGACCCTGGGCAAGCACTTAACCCTGTTTGCCTCAATTTCCTCATCTGTAAAATGAGCTGGAGAAGGAAACGGCAAACCACTCCAGTGTCTGCCAAGAAAACCCCCCATGGGGTCATGGAGAGTCAGACATGACTGAAATGACTCAACAACAAAGGGATTTGGACAAAGTGATCCCTTAAACGTAAGCTACCTTCCTCCTATGCTTTTCCACTATCAGTTCCCCCATTGAACAGTGCTCCCTCTCAGCTAGCCCAGAGGATTACTGCCCATGACCTGAGTATTCCCTCCTCCAACAAAAGTACCTTGGAAGGGAGGCTTCCAGACCCCCACCCTGTGGCATCTGGTACATTCTACTTACTGCCTAAGCTTAGGTCCAGTCTATCTCATGAACCTCATGTTCCATGCACGTAAATATTAATATACTCTAATAGCAGCAGCTAGGAGAGTCGTGAATAGAGGGCTGGACCTGGAATTGGGAAGACCTGAGTTCAAATCTAGCCTCAGACACTTACTAACTGCCTGACCTTAACCTCTCTCAGGCTCAGTTTTCTCATCTGTAAAATGAGGATAATAATAGCACCTGCCTCTCTGGATTCTTGTGAGGATCAAATGAGATAATATTTATAAACCAACAAGCGAATCTTAAAGTGGCATGTAAACGCTATATTAGGATGATAAATATATGCAAGAAATAAAATTGTCATAGTAACGTGTGGGGTAAATTATTATATCTGAAAAGCCTATTCAAGAGATAAAACCAAATTAAAAAAAAGGAATGTGTCAGGCTGTGTGGCGACTTCTGTGTTCTCTCATGTTAGCTTCTTCTATAGGATTTCTGCCCCTCTCTTTCTAGGGAGAAGAGAAAAGAACAAGTTTTTCAATAGCATTTTTTCCATTCCTGTACTGAAATGGACAAGTTTGAAGAAGGCCGTGTTGTTATGGGTATTCCTCAGCTGGTCTTGAAGCCTAGTGAACAGGCCTCTGACTATCTGAGACAGGGCAAATCACTGAACTGCTCAGCACTCTAGGCAACTCCTGCCTGACAAGGGGCTGACTTATACTGGAAGAAACGTCATACGTCCACTGTCAGTGCCTATCCCCACTCTCCAGAGAAGAGCAGCACAGCTTCATTATTATGACCATTATTGATCATGGTTAGGAGGGTCCTTTGAGATTGGTACCTAAAACTCAGACAGGCAAAATTCAAAGAGTAGGTGACTATGGACAAAAAAGCCAATTTATTAAATGACCCAACGTGATCAAAGCTCAAAACAACAGTAAATTATAGTCAAACAAAATTAGGTTGCACGCGCATTTATTTCTCCCAAAACAGTCGATGTTCAACCTAATTTTGTTTGTCTTTCTTAGAACGAACTCTTTCAGGTTGATACCAACCACTCTGTTTTTGCTTCACTTCCTCATCATTTACCTCAGAGGCGATGGAGGTGAAACTGCCGCTGAAATGGACGTGCTTGTGCATCTCACTTCCATTGGCTGTCAGGAACCATTCCCCAAAGGCTTGGTCTTCGGTCCTTGACTGGTTGCTATGGCTTTGATTAGGCAAAAGCTCTGCCAGGTCCCAGTGGTAGGAAGGCGTTGCCCCGATCAGTGCAATGAGGATTGCCTCCGTGGCAACATAAAGCTAGCAATATAAATACACAAAATTAAAACATCCCACAGAAATTTGCCATCCACTTTAATAATCTCTCTCATGAATTTACAATTCTCTTTTGGATGAATTTTCCCGGCCAGAGCAGTTAGTGATGTTGTACAATTCCAACAACACCATCACCACCTTGCATTTCACAGTTTTTCAAAGGGCTTCATGAAAACATTGCCTTGTTTGAGCTTCATGGAAGGCTGGGAAGGTGAGAAGGATGGGTGTGATACTGACCATCACTTTAGAAGTTTGACCTTGCAAAGCTGTCCCTTCCAAGGCTGTTATTTCTTTTTAGATACTACACTCAAAAGTAAGATGCCCCAAATTCAGATAAAATGCCACTAGGTGGTCACTCTTAGGCTGGGCTACAGTCTCAAGGTTCAAACAGTTATGTTTCTCAGGTGAATGGCTAACTTAAGTCCCAGAGAATAGAACACTTTCCTGTTCATTTAAAAAAAATAAAAAAAAAACACTTATAACTTTGTTAAATAGAGCTAAGCATAACATTTACTAGATTTATTCATTATTATATTTAAATATCCTGTACAATATATAGAATAAGATTTAAAGAAATTCAAATACCTAAGTAAATCTAGGTTCTTGGATCATTAACTTTTAACTGTTTGTTATCAATTACTGCTTAATTTATTCCTTATTTCCTTCTTGGTTTAGGAAGATTTAATTTACCTTAAATCTTTTCTTTCCTTCTTTTACCTTAGATCTTTCCTGAATTCTTCAGAGTTGCTAGAGCTTATCCTCAGTTCCAATATCCCTATGTCTGCTTTGCCAAATTCCACCCCTACTTTTTTCCTGCTGCCGATTCCCTCTTCAATATAGCAAGAGGAACCGATTTCCTCTTTATTAGGGGAGAAAGTCTTGTATGACCTTCTAATTTTCAGCTCTCCATCTGCTCTTGACAACCTGACCCCAATTTACCTTCCAAGCCTTTTTACACATCATTCCCTATCACAAACTCCATGGTCCAACTGCATGGACCTTCTGACTATCATTTAACATTGTTCTGCATCTCCCAGCTTCACAGTTTTGCTTTGTATGTCCCTCGTGCCTGGCCTGCACTCTGACCTCATCGCCATCTCTTCAGATCTCTAGTTACCTTCAAAACAAGCAGGATGGCATAATCAACAGAGGGCTGGCTTCTGAGGCAGGAAAAAGTGGGTTAAAATACCACCTCTCTGGCCTGTACTGACCCTGGTTAAGTCACCTACATCAATGTTTTAGTGTCTGAGACAACTTTCTAAGACCAGAAGTGGCAGTGAAGGTACTGACCTGAATCAGTGGGAAGAGTTTCCTATTCCAAGAGTTTACTATACCAATGAACTTAAAGGTGTACTCTCTTCCCCTGTTCTTCTCATCCAATGAAGCAGTTAGGTGGTGCAATGGACAGTTAGAAAGACCTAAGTATAAATTCAGCCTCAGGCACTTACTAGCTATCTGACTCTGGGCAAGTTGATTAATCTGTTTGCCTCAGTTTCCTCAACTGTAAAATGGGGGTAATAACAGCACCTACCTTTGCAGAGTTGTTGTGAGGATGAGGATCAAATGAGATAATAATTGTAAAGCATTTAGCATAGTACCTGGCACACATTAGGCATTCCATAATTGCCTATTCCCTTTCCTTTCCCCCCTTTTTTTTTTGGTGAGATAATTGGGATTAAGTGGTTGCCCAGGGTCACATAGCTAATAAGTGTCAAGTGTCTGGTCTGAGACCAGATTTGAACTCCGGTCCTTCTGACTCTAGGGCCAGTGCTCTATCCACTGTGCCACCTAGCTGCCCCACCTTTCCCTTCTTTTAAGACTCAACTGCATTGCCACCTTCTACATGAAGACTTTGCTCATCCTCCCACCTGTTAGTACAGCCCCCTCCAAAAATCTGTCTTGTATCTATTGCACATACACCTACATACATATATTTATCTCCCTGTTTACCAGGAAGTTCCCTGAAGGAAGGGACTGATTCGGTCTCATCTTTGTATCCCTGATGCTTAATAATAGTAATAATAACAACAATAACCATAATATCTGTCATTCATAGAGTACTGACTATGTGCCAGGCACTGTGCTACGTGCTTTACAATTATCATCCTATTTGATCCTTACAATGACCCTGAGAGGCAGGTGCTATTATTCACATTACTAAAATAGACAGAGGTTAAGTGGCTTACCCAGGGTCACACAGCTGGTACCTTAGACTAGATTCAGACTAAAGTCTTCCTGACTCCAGGCCCAGCACTCTGTCTTCTGTGCCACCTAGCTTCCCTAACACAGTACCTTTCACACCACAGGCACTTAATAAATGCTTGTTGATGGATTCTCTTCCCTGTGGGCTGCAGAGAAGGAAAACACAGGGCGGCAACTTACAAGCCTTTGTGAATACCCAGTGTTCACTCACTCTAATCATAATAAGGTGTTTTGCTGCTGCCTCACTAAGACATTCCTTCAAATCACTTCTCTGGACGAGTACATCCAGTTATTCCTGCCATCAGTGGTTTTATCAATCGGCTCTCAGCACGCATTGGCTTACACTGCACAGAGCCTTCCTTATTTGGATGGAGTCATGTGTCTGCTTGCAGAACTCATCCTTTTCAAACATTTTTCAACAGCATAATTGGATATTGTGAGCCACAGCAGGACCAACAAATTAGTAGGCATTTATAAAGCACTTATTATACAAGCCAGGCTCTGTGCAGCCTTAGGAATACAGATATAAGTAGAAAGATAGTCCCTGCCCCCAAGGAGTTTACATTCTATTGCGGGAAAACAAAACAGAAAAGGATGATGAGAATCTATAGGGGAATGGTAGAGAAAGTTAAGGGAGCCAGAGGTGAAACCTAGAGAGGAGTGAAGATATGGCCGGACTGGGCATCCTCCTCAAAATGGAGAAGAACTAGCCAATCAGAGAATGAGAAAGAAGGAAAAAACAGGCATTTATTAAGTGCCTGCTATGTGATGGGCACTTGCTAAGTGCTTTACAAATATCATCTTATTTGAGGAAGAGGCTTCAGGAGGGGAGGGTACTTCCAGTGTGAGAATTCTAGAGGTGGAGTGAACTTTCAGAGTGAAGAGGTTTCTGGGGCATAGTAGAGAAAAGAAGGAGAGTTAGGAAAATTCATTCGGAGTCAAAGAATATGATATCTCTGCTACCTACTGCAATGTGTGATCATAACCAAATCACGTCCTCCTCTCTGGTCTTCCATTTCCTTGTGTTTAAAACAAGGGAGCTAGACTATGTGATCTTCTAAGGTCTTCTCCAGCTCTGGATTCTGTGATCCTATGGAAGTTTTAAACCAATGGTTGGTTCTTAACTTTTTATTGCATCACGGACTCATTTAGATATCTATAAAACACTCCAACTCTCAGTTCTGGGCATTTTCTCTGGCTTTCACTACTGTCTTTCTTTGCTCTATTAATCTCTTTAGCTTGCTTTAAGTCATAACTAAAATCCCATTTTCTACAGGAAGTCTTATCCAAATCCCCTTAATTCCAGTACCTTTCTGCCTTTAATATATCCTATTTATCCTGGATATAGTTCATTTTGTATATATTTGTTTGCATATTGCCTCCCCTCCCCCCCAGTAGACTGTAAACTTCTGGAGAGTAGGGTGTCTTTTGCTACTTTTTGTATGCCTGGCATACAAAAGTGCTAAATAAATGTTTATTGATTGATTGATGAAACCTCTGGACACTTTTTCAGAATATTTTTTAGTAATTGAAGGAAATGTTTTAGTGAAAATAAAGATGGAATTTTTTTTCCCATCCAAGGTCATAGAACCCCTGAAATCTATCTAGCAGACCCAGGTTAAGAATCCTTGCTTTATAAAGAATTATAATTGGATTTCTGCACAGTAAATATTATCCCAATTTTACTGATGAGAAGAGAGATACAGAAAAGTGATGCTAGCAGCAGGGTCAGAATTTTAAAATGTGGTGTCTTGACACCTGCTCTAAAGACTGTCCACAAAACCAGGTACACAAGTTATTTTTAGCCTTTTTTTTCAAAGCTTAGCCAGCACACATGAACTATTAGACTAGTAATGCCAAACTCTGGACAATGTTTGAGTTCACTTGGCTCTAAGAAAAGACATTCTTTTTCATGAAGCTAATGAAATGGAAATTCACGTAGCTTGTACAATATGACTTTCTAATCAGATGATCCACTTGATAAAATCTGGTCACATCTGAAATTTACCATGTGTTCTGCTATCTAAAGGATAAAAAGTCTATTTTATATGGCAATGATCCAACTGTTAAGTGGAGAAGATTTTTTTTAAAGGCAAAAGAGGAGTTGTTTGTCATATTAAGAGAATGAAACTGCCCTGGAGAAAAAAGAAAAAAAAAGTTATGATGTGAAAAGTAGAATAACATAAGGCTAATGTATATCATGGTAAGAATAATTTTCATATTTAGCAGTAAATCTAGAGGAATGAAAAGTTGATGTAGATCACTCTATGATGGCAATTTATTACGAAGGAAAAGGAAAATGGCTTTCCTCCATCCTGATGCAGGAAACTATAAGAAGCTACAATGTAGGAAGGAGCCATTTCACTGAAATGTACAAAATCAGAAATTACAAGTACAGCAAGATCATATATAATCAATCACTAAACAAATATTTATTAAATGGCTACTACGTGTCAGGCACTGAAGATGAAATGACAAAAACTAAACAAAGCCTTCCCTCAAGGAGCTTACATTCTATCATTGGAAATGTGTACACGGAGAGCTAGACACAAAATCAGCATATACAAAATAAACCCAATGTAATTTTTGGCAGGAGAATATTACTAGGTGGAGGATCAGGACAGACCTCATAGAGGAGGTGACATGAGATGAGCTTTCAAGAAAACGATAGATTTTAGAAAGACAAGATGGGATGGTAATGTATTCTAAGCAAGGGGAAAAAATATGCTGTTGCAAATACAAGGAGACATTGTATTGTACTGCATATTGTACATTGTAACAAA